CAAAAAAACATTGTATGGGTCAAAATTATAGATTTTTCTTTTATGCCAAAAATCATTAGGATATTAAATAAAGATTATGTTCCATAAAGATATTTTGTAAATTTATCACAAATGTGTGTGTGTGTGTGTGTGTGTGTGTGTGTCTGTGTGTGTTTGGTTGGATGAGTTTTATTCATGCAGTTTTTAAATTTACCATGAAATCAAAACGTGCACAATTGATGTGCAAAATTCATGGCTAATGAAAAAAAAATAATTCATAAGGATGAAAATATTTTTTGCCAGTTTTAACTGTTTTCAACTGGTTTAACACCAAACCATCTCTTATCTGAAATAAATAATATGAACATGCCTCGAGCAAAATATATGCAGTAATAATAATTCAGCATCATAAACTCTTAAATCATAAAAACAGAAATGCTATGACATGATTCACAACATCATCGCATGTTTAAATTACAAAGATAAACAATATCTCTTTGTGTGTATCAAAGCTGTTTATTAATCTTGACTTGGTAAGTTCACAACATACAAAAATACTCATGTGTTGTGAATGCTAACCGTCTTAAATCATTTTGTTTTTGCATTCAAAGCAAATTCCTGAGTCATTAGACAATTTCACAGCATTTTCTCAATGCTCTCTCCAGATTAATGGGGTAAGTGCCTCCCTGTTTAACATGAGCCAAGAAAACCTACACCACACATCGCCTGCCAAAACAATAACGGACCAAGATCTTCACAAACTGTAATCTGGCTGTCACTGACATGAATTTACAAGTTTTGCACGCAGTTCCAGAAAGTCCCATGATCAACATTTCTATAAAAATACATAATAACAGGAATTTCCCCTGGGACTGAGAGAGAGCCTTCAGAAGAGTAAAACTTAAGGAATCTGTCACAAATATCATGCCTGTCAACTGTCAATCAATTTTGACCAACTTTAAGATGAGTCTTAAAGTAGAGCTGCAGCTTCATGGTCATGGTTTTAACATGTTAAAAGAAGTTCACCCAAAAACGTGTCCTTAGTCATTGTGTAATCACATGTCATTCAAAACACATACTATATAAAATGAACGAATGGCGGCACAATAAACGCATCACTAAACTAGTCCATGTGACTTTTGTGCTATATATTTAAACTCCTCTGGAGTCATATGATAAGACTGTACGAGGAACAGGCCTAATTTGTTACTGTCATTCTTCAAATTCATACGGGTTTGGAACGACATGATTAATAATTAGAGAATTTTCATTTTTGGCTGAACTACTCCTTTAGGAATGTACATAGTTTGAGAGATTCGTCCATGTTCGAGCATAACAGCAGTGTTTGTAATGTCTTGAAGACACTGAGCCAAAACTGCAAAAGTACTCAAAATGATTTGTTCGTGGAAATACTGTCCCGTCAAAGCAAAGCCCACTACCCTTATGTCTCGACCCCTGTGGACTGGTAAACACAAGTGTATATTTAGTGATGGAGGCGATAACTAAGTGACACAAGGTTTCACGACTCCCTCCAAGATATATAAACCGCATACCAGAGCAAAGAGACATGGCATCAATCCAACAAACCAATGCACAATCCAATAAAACTAATTTTGTCAGTCGTGGAAGCAACTTCACTCCTGAATCGCTCTGCTTATAAATATACACTCAGACAGACATGCAAACAAACACATGAGAGACATCATAATAATATGTATTAAATTATTATTTACAGGGCATTGCTAGGTGGGTTAGTTAGGGTGTTCTGGTTGGTTGCTATGTGGTTATTAATTGGCCTCTGGTCTCTAGACAAAGTGGCATTGGGTTTTATTTGTACTTGTATTTGTACGCACAAAATCTGCATAGGTTTTCACAAACAAGTCATGATTCATCTACAAGCTTTACACATGGATGCAAAAATCACATACTCTGGCTGGCCTTAAATACATATAGATTCAAATTTGTCATATGTATATAAGTCTCCAGGATATACTGGTCTCTAGATATGGACTGGGACCTGGCTCAGGGTTTGTTCAACCCCCAAGAATGAAGTGTAATAACAGTAAAGCTTGCCTTAGAGACATGAATCTGTGCTCGCCCTAAACAACAGCAGATTATGAGGCTGACGTCACCAAACAAGTTTGCCTGTCTCATGATCTAAGTATTATATAATTGTTGCATGTCCAGGATGTTTCCTTATGGCCTGGGTTAGGCTCCAGCATCCCCGTTACCCTAAATAAGATAAGCGGTGCATGGACAGTTGAATGAAATGACAGCAAATAGTAGCCACATCTACTGTGAACTACAAAAAAAAGAGTCACTTTCAGCATATTCATTACTGAAAACATGTAACGCCAATGAGTCACTGGCCCGACGGATAATCCAGGCGTTTTCAAACAATAGACATATGACTGTGTGTCTACAGACAGAATGTATAGGAAGAGCATATCCAACTAGTGATGTTCATTTTAACCGGTTAACCGACCGTGAAGAATTTTGACCGATTAATACAATCAGTTAAACGGTTTAAAAAGTCATTTATTTATTTTATTTTTTTAGTAATTTATCAAAATATTTAAAAAGGTTTGCGGCATGGTTGAAACATGCTAGGCGTATGAAAAATTGCGTTTTTTAGAGGGAAAAAAAAATAACATAAGTCGCGTCTAAGTCACATTTTATTATTTCATTCAGAAATAGGCCTTTTAAGTAAAAATATATTTCTCGTATAGGCCTATTTATCGTTATATTTATAGGCCTATAGCCTAGCTTTATGATGTTTTTCTCCGCTCGCAGGAGCGTGATGTGATATGAAGACCATGTGAATCCTCATGTTCTGTTGTTTGCTGCTTTTTGCGCATGTAAAATTAATCCCGGGGAAACAAATGTTAGTATTTTTTAACGGGTCACAGACACTTATCCTTTCTAATTGAATTAAATTCTAATTTAAAATAATCTTGTCGGTTAACGGTTAATAATCGGTAAACGCGCGTCGGTTATCGGTTAGGAAAAATAATCAAAATGAACATCCCTATATCCAACATTAGAGCTATTATTACAAGATCCTGAACATACAGTCACTAGATATCACAGAACTACAAGATTTAAGATTTGATGATTTGTGGGTCAATGGCAAATAAGCATGAAAAGTAATGTGTATTCATGTTGGTTTTAGGGGGAAAAACTTTGAATGTCTTTGTTTTTGTCTATTTTGAAATATATATTAAAAAATATATCTGAAAATATACTTTTTGTGCCATATGGGGTATAATGAATTTTTTTCACTTTAACGAAATCAATTTAAATTCAGAAATTCAGTCAGAGAAGAGGAGTATTCAAGTCATTGCTTGTATGAAATCTATAGTGAAATGCATTTTTGAATCACAGATCCGGACTCAAAGAAAAAAAAAATGTAAAGATATATGAAGAGTTTATTTGCAAAAGCAGATAACTCGTTGTTTTTTTTTTTCAAAAATCATGTTTTTTTATGAAGTTATCATGTTTTATTGTGTTAGTTAGCTGTATTTTTTTGTTATTTTTAACCTAATCAAAATAACCCAACTGCAGTTTGATTGAGATTAATTGGAATGCACAATGAAAAAACATGATTTTTGAAAATTGTTAAAAACGGAGTTATCTGTTTTTGCAAATGAGCTCTTCACATTATAAAGAAAGACCTTTAATTTCAGGAACACCTGTTGACGTAATACAGACTGGAGAAACCAGTCGCTTTGAGTTTAGCATCTACATCTACATCAGTTGCTTTCTTTCTGAAATGTCTGGAATACTCCAAATGACATACATTGATGCCCACAGGTTCAGGAAGGCAGAATAACTAGTCCGACCACAAGAACAAAGTCAGATTGTGAGAGTCTGAGCAAACTCACACATGCACAGGAGAGATTCCTCGAGCGCCTACACACATATCTCAGACAAATGCAACAAGAGGTTAAACAAACAGAAACGACAATTCCTCAACACTGTTAATAATGACTGAAAAACTCAACTGAACCCATTCAACCTGCTGAATAATTCATTATGATGATTATCACTTTCGCCTCACTGGCACAGAGCTCCACACTTACATTTAGACGCAACAGACGGCTAAAAGCAATTTATCCAAGTGTCTGTAGACAGATGAGCCATGATCGCGAACATGGATTTTCCTTGACGCTTTAAAATAAAAGATTTGGATGTAGCATGTTGACATGGAATGGAAACTTTACAGCCACCTGTCTACTATTTTAATAGTATGTGAAACAGCATGTAGTATATAATAATTCATGTGTTAAACGCT